ACATACCTTTTCTCGTTCGATAAAAACTGGGTTTTTCTGGTTCATTTCATGCCATATTTGCCTTCAAGCTTGGAAAAAAATTCAAATTTAGTAAAAATTCAAATATAAAACAGTTGCTAAAATGTTATCAAATTTGATTTGAAAGCTTTAGTTTGTAAGATTTCACGGTTTTTCAAGGGTTATATTTTGAACAAAGATTTAAGCAAAATTTTGGATGATGCGTTTTCAATGTCGCCTAGTAATTAATGTTTTAGGAGAGCTCAAAAATCTAATTTGGTCGACCAAAAGCAAGGAGGACCGACAAAACTTTCTTGATAGTCCGTCTTGATCAAAATCTTGACTCTTTTTCCTTTTCGCCCCACCTCAGACGAGCTTCAATTTTTGAGTGTAACGAGTGGTTTTACGAGGTTGATTATGGAAACCAAATATGTTTGTCATGGCCTAATTAGTCTATATGTCAATTTTCATAACAATCAGACAATGTGGTCAACAAGTTTACTAGTAAAAATTTGTAGGTGGGGGAGGGAAAGGAAAAAGAGCCAAAATATTAGATCCTGGTTCACCCTAAGTTTCGAATGCATTTGATGTCCATACCTTGTCTCCAAAATACCCGCTCTTTTTAACTCCTAGTCGTAGACCAAACTACCTACACTTAACAACTCCTGGTCCAAGACCAAAGTACCCGCTCTTACAACTCCTGGTCAAACAGCAAACTACCCGCTCTCTAGAACTACTGGTCCAAGACGAAACCACCCGCTCTTTACAACTCCTGGTCCAAGACCAGACTACCCGCTCTTTACAACTCCTGGTTCGAGACCAAACTACCCGCTCTTAACAACTTCTAGACCAAGACCAAACTACCCGCCATTACAAATCCTAGTCCTGTTGTAAATTTCTTCCACATTATAATGTACAGAGCCGGTAGGTTTTGCCTTTCTCTTCACAACTCCTGGTCCAAGAGCAAACTACCCGCTCCTTAGAACCACTGGTCCAAGACCAAACCACCCGCTCTTTACAACTCCTGGCCCAAGACCGAACTACCCGCTCTTTAGAACTACTGGTCCAAGACCAAACCACCCGCTCTTTACAACTCCTGGTCCAAGACCAAACTACCCAATCTTTACAACTTCTAGACCAAGACCAAACTACCCGCCACTACAAATCCTAGTCTTGTTGTAAATTTCTTCCACATTATAATGTACAGAGCCGGTAGGTTTTGCCTTTCTAGATTTCGAATTCTAAAAGAACAGATCTCGGTTTCAAATTTCACAGTTTCGTAGATTTTTTGATTTGGTTGACGGATACATTGTTTTGGGACGTTACGACTTAAGTTACAATAGAATCTAAGGTTTTTTCAGGGTGGGTTATCAAGAAACTTTTGATCCCTCCTTTTTTGGTCAAGTTTTTTTAATATTTACTTTGTTTATGCATACCCATATTATTTTAGTAGACGCAGATTAGTTGCAAAATTTTTGAAACGAGGGATAGCAAATGATCTGAACTACCCTCTTTGAAAGTCTGAATTTTTAATTTGAAGCACCTACCAGTTTTTTCGGGTCTGCAAATGCCAGTTTTCATCATCCGTAGCCCAGACGGTGGAAACTGGCATTTTCAGATCCAAAAAAAAACGGGAAAGCGCACAATATAAAATTTCAGAGTGGGTACTTTAGAGCATTTGCTGTCGTTCGTTGTAAGACTTTCAAATTGTGTTAAACTCTAAATAAAATGGTCCTTAAATTTAGGCTTTTTGAGAGTAAGAGGCTGAGTTTGCGTTTAGTTTTGTCCACTAGTGGGTTATGGTTATTTCGTAATTGTTGGCGACAAGGTATGAACATCAAATGGCTTTGAAACAGTTTTTTTATTTACCATGCAAAACGTCGTTAAAATACAAAAAAAAATATTGAAACCCTTTGTCAAAATCGAAGTTCAAAAGCCAAAAAAATTTGGAAAAACAATTTTACCTTCAAATTATTCTCCATCGTGTCTCTATTGAGTAGTAACTCTAAGTAGCACCAGGAGCACTGCTCATAACCTCCAGCAAGCACTTCTTTTTGCATCATCAGGAAGGCCATCGTTGCAATAAACACAACAGACAATTTTTTCAAACCAAACATTGTAAAAATTTGGTGTTCGAACAAAGTAAAATTAGGACTAAATAAATAAGAAGAACAGTAAGAGGATTTCGTAAAACTATTTTTAAAGAACTATGTTTTTTGTTGAAATTGATTATTAGTTTTAAAGTGTGAGCAGAAATCAAAAGTCAAGTTGACGATAATGACTCATAGAAAAAATTTTCGGCATTTCGGGTCACATTTAAGCGGGAAAATGAAGAACAAACACTCACATTAATTGCCATATTTTCACAACGACGATATCGCGACGACGACACAGTTGTGCTGGATTGATAATAAGTCTACAGCTGTTTTGGAAATACCCGAATGGGAACTCAGAGTACTCAATAGACAACAAAAAAAACAATTTACATGTTATTTGCTTACGTGTTATTACGGCTAAATGCGTGTTGTTACGCTTTAAAGTATGAAGAACAAATCTGTTCACAGTTGTTGATTTTTCAATGCATCATGACTTCCTTAAAAAAACTTTTCAAAATTGAGTTCGAAAGGAGGGAACTGGAAAAGAGCCCTGTTTTGAATCCGTTGCTTACTCTTCGTTGTGTTATAATGCCTGGTGCCCGGGTTGACCGAATATGCTAATCATACAATTTTCAAATTTGGTAAAATTGCCACTCATATACTTTTCATGCAATTCTATAGGAATAGAAAATTGCGTGAATGGTCTATGATCGCTAGTTTTTAATCTATGGAAACTGTATGACTAGCAATTTTTCATAAACCAAAAAAAAATGATTTTTTAAATTTTTTTTCTCAACGAACTCAAATGACAAGAGCCATGGTTGACTCAAAAATAGAGTTACCGAAGGTTTGAACCTGTTTCATTTGTGACATTTTACAATGCCTGAAAATTGACCTTTTTATAATAGGTTCTTACACAAATCATATACTGAAAAGCAACAAACTTTTGAATTTTGGCAAAAATGATAATTTTCTGAAATTTGAAATTTTATATTATCAGACATTGATCAAGGCGTCCTACAAAAGGAATAGCATTAAGGGGAGAAAATGTGGTTTTTGAGAATTTTAAGCTATTTTCGCAAAAAGGAAGCTCCTTTTGTTCTTCTTTTGTCTATTAACTTTCTTTGATCGTTCCGTTTTTAACACGTTTTTAACACGTTTAAGAACTTTTCTCTGGAATCCAGGAATAAACAGACACAAAAAGTGCACCTATTCATCTTTTTCCTTATCTTACCATAGATTATACAGCAAACAGACTAAGCACGTTCAAAAATGTGAGACTATTGCTTGGGTAAAAAGAGTGTTCAGCGAACACTCTGATCAACAAAAAATGGAACAAAATCAAGCCTAGTAGTAGATATTGAAAATACGATATCGCTCTATCCAACGCCAAGGTACAACCGCAAGAAGAAACAAAAATGCTAACTTCGGTCAGAAGCCGTCGTCAGTCTTTGACCTGTCCGCCGTTACTTTTGAAACAATTCCTGAAACAACGATGGAGACCTACCCCGACGGTTGTCTTCGAAAGCGTGTAGCCAACGACGCCGTATACCGATTTTGTTTTTGATTTTCTTTTGTTTTTGATTTTGTCTCTTAACGCGGAGTATTTCCAGGAGCTCGACTGACGTTCAAATCATAGAGCTCAAAGCGTGGTTACTGTTCAAATCTATTTAATGCAAAAAACTACTCTTGCAATCCGTTACCGCTCACAGTTCTTCTAATGAGCCACAAAACAATAAGTAAATCCTTTTTTGATATGAAAGGTTTAAGCATATAAGTTACATGAAAAATCACCACGAAATAGGTTCAACAAACTTTAATCAGCTATCCTAGTTTTGCTTCAATTACCGGTTAGGTTTATGGCAAATAGATATATTGGAAAACTCGGTAATTTGACCTATAATTTTTTACTTTTTGTTTAAGTAAATATCTTGTTCTCATTTTTTACTTATTCTTATTTTTTTTACTAATTATTTAATGATAAAAACTAATTGTTAATTTGAGAATCAACAGTGTTTGTTCTTAGTTATGTGTCAAGAGAGGGTAGTAACTTAGTCCAAATGTATGTGACTCGACCAACTGTATTCAGCAAATTGGTAAAGGAGCCGATAGTAAAAATTTCAAATGTTTGTCTAGGCCAACTGTATTCTACAAATGTATCTATAATTCCATGTGAAAATGATAAAATTAACTTCCTTGGCTAAAATCATCAAATGCAGTTTATCTGCGTGGTAACTGCCAGTTACACTCTGGGTTTTCTTATGACAAAAAATCCTTGGTTAGTGTTTCGGTTGAAACACAAAATTTCGAAACAATTTTTTTTTCATTTATGGAAAAAATGCTTGTCATACCATTTCATAGTATGAAAAAATGCTTATCATACAATTTCATTTAATGGAAAAGATGCTTATTTTGCTATTTTCATACACTTACCCTTGCTCTATGAAATTGTATGAAAGAGTACGATAAGTTATTTTTCACGTATGAAAATTGCATGACAAGCATTTTTGTCAACCCTGGAGGCAACAATTCGTAACAAAGGCGACAATTTGTATTAAGCGACAATTTGTTACAAGCGAAAATTCGTAACAAGCTATTGGTAAGTAAAATAAGTTTACTCTGTGTCGCTCTGCTGCGCTTACATCCGGCACGAGATGAATATTGCGCGTGAGTCAGTGTTCCCCGCTTAAATTACTGTTACGAATCGTCACTTATTACGAATTGTCGCTTGTTACGAATTGTCACTTATTACGAATTGTCACTTATTACGATTTGTCGCTTGTAACGAATTGTCGCTCGTTACGATTTGTTGCCTGTTACGAATTCTCGCCTCACGATTTTTAGGCCAAAAATATTGAGCAAGTCGAATAAAAAACCGATAGTAAATTAGTCCGAATGTACATTTAGGGCGACAGTGTACAGTGAGCTGAAGAGTCTGTACGTGCAACATGCATGTAGGGAGTACCTGGTGAATCTTCCCCTTCTGGAACTGTACTGTGGCTATGGGGATGCAAAAGTGCCCCAGTTGAACACTGTCAACAATTTCCTAATGGGTGAGCAAAATTGGCTCTTTTCCAACACCCAATCCCCTCCTTCGTTCCATTTTCAGGGTTGAAAAGTTATGGAACGTTTTCAAAATGCAATGAAATTTTGCAGTATTTCCATACTCGTTTGCTCTTCAAACTTTAAATCGTAATATTACGCATTTTGCTATAAAAATACATACACAGCCATAAAACAGAAAATTTGAAACATGTAAGGTAAGGGAGAGAAGCTGGAACCCATTTTGCCCCTTTTTTTAGTGGTAAGGGGTTCACTATGTGAGCATCAGATTCTGTAGTCGATCCCCTGCCATGGTAATGATAGTAGTGTGTGAGTACGAGCTCTCACTTGACCTCTAGCTTAAGGTTTACCACAACCTGACTGATTTCAGATACAAAAGTGATACCAAGTGAACGTTTTAGACGAAAAAAAAACGTCTTTTAGTCGCAAAAAAGGAGCTCCGCTCAACAAAATAACTCAGTCCAGAATGTGGGAAAGTTGGAGCAACCAACTATTTTTAGTTAGACTGGATAGCTTTTCATAGATCCTTTTCGAATCGCAGAAACCACAATTATTATTATTCATTGGCCCTATAAAAATGGTGGGGGGGGGGGGGGGGGTTATTGGAAAGTGTGATTGGCAAAATGTACTTCTTCTTGGTAAAATATATGGACTCTTTTCCACCAGTCCATCATGTCGAATTTTTGTGTTTGTTTTGCAATTTAAGAGCAAATTTGGAAAATTCCTCGATGTAAACATGAAATGAACTGGAGACATCAATCGATAGGCAACTCTTCTTTCAGGTAATATTTCAAGATTTTTTTTCAAAGTTTTTTTTTCTGTATCGAACAGAAGCGGATTTAGGGGCGGGGGCGGACGCGTCGACTCCCAGGAATTCGACCCCCTGCCGACCCAAAGGGTCCTCCTTTGTACTAGTTTGGTTCCCCTTTATACCATTTTTGGGCCGAACGGAATCTAAACTTTTTCTAAAGGCGCCTTTGGCGCAAATATATATCAAATTTGAGGGGAAAGCGCACGTCACATGCAGCACAAACAATTCGGCCAAATGAGAGTTTTTTAGTGCTTTGGGAGAGCTCAGAAAATCAGTTCGGTCGACATTTTTGATTTTTATGAGAAAATCCTAGATCCGCTCCTGGCTGTAAATATTACTTTTTTCCCTTCTTATAAATAAAATGATTTAGTATAAGTCTCATTAACTGATTGACCACCCAAGAAGAATATCATTTTGTTATGTTAATTTTTTTTGCTTGTAGAGAAGACTGGCTTCTCCCTCAGACCTGTTGCCGGGTATCTCTCCTCCAGAGATTTCCTCTCTGCCCTGGCATTCCGCGTGTTCTGCTGCACTCAATATATTAGACATGCCAGCGACCCATTCTACACTCCAGAACCGTGAGATTTTTTTGAAAAAAATTTAACGATATTGAAAATTTGATCTATCTAAAAATTTGGTAAATTTCGAAAATCATATATTAGTTTCTAAGAGCTCGTCTTGGTCCAGAAAAGGCGCAAAAGATAGTTCGTAGTTCAATTTTCACATAAAATTTATTACGTATTGAGAAAAAATATGTATAAAAGTATATAAACAATCACATCACCATTTTTAATTCAATATACTTCAATTTTTCAATTTTTAGAGACTGTTGTCACGAGCTGCTTGGTCACGTGCCCATGTTGGCAGACAGGACCTTCTGCGACTTCAGTCAGGAGATCGGACTGGCCAGTTTAGGGGCATCAGATCCAGATGTTGAGAAACTGTCCAAGGTACACTTTACATTTTCGAAGGTTCTCTTCTCTAGTCAAACCTCTAACTATTATAAATCCATCGCCTATTGTTTGTTTTATAACTTATGTTTTTGAATGTTAAACAGGAGTCAATGTGTTTTTTTTTTTAATTTTCCGACGATCATGAGATCAAAAGCCTTTAAAAGTTGAAACTTCGCAGAAATTGCTGCCTACGTTGGGTCTTTTTGGCAATTCATTTGAACTCAGAAAATGCATTTGGTAAATCTTAAAAAATCCGTATGTTTCTGATTATAATTCGATTCACAATTTTCAAAGTACTTAAAAGGTTTCATTTCGACATCAGATCTTTGATCACTCTCAATTTTTTCTCCACTATTTCCCTATTTTTTGATATTGGCAGCTTAACATTTTATTTAATTAACTGTTTCTTTTTTTACCATCGCCATAGTAAAAAATTACCATTCGGTAAAAAAATTACCATCGCCAATCGCCATAGTAAAAATTACCAAAGGGGGGGTTTGGAAGTGGTGGTGGGGGGTCGAAATCTGGGGGTATGTGGGGAGGGGGGTGTAGATGAGGTGGCGGTGTAGATGAGGTGGGGTGTAGATGATGTTTGCCTGGGTTTTAATTTAGCAGAACGTTGTTTTTTCTAAGTATTTGCTGTCATATTGATGAAATTGTGCAAAGTTCTCATCCAATTGTTTCAAGAGTAAGTGGCCTAAAAAATTGATAATTTTGTCAAAATAATGGATTGTAATGGATTTTTAAATATTGAAAATAATCAATTATAATCCCCTAAAAATCAATTTTCATGGTTGGATGGGTCATGAAAATCGATTATAGCTTTTTGCCGATATAATCCATTATAATACATCAGTTCCCATGAAACTCCAGTGCGGGAAAGATCTTGAAAGATATTCTGACACTTTTTGGGATATTTTTATTGTTTATTTTTAGCTATACTTCTTCACCGTGGAATTTGGTCTGTGCCGACAAGATGGTCAGGTGAAGATCTACGGGGCAGGACTGCTATCTTCGGTCGGAGAGCTAAAGGTCAGCTAGGTTCATAGCGTGACAACCGGTGATATAGTGCACTTCAAATCCCATCTCTTTTTTTAAAACAAAAAACCAAGTAGGTCTACCCGATGATTACTTAAGCTTAAGTTTAAACTAGAGCTTACTTAATCATGATGAGCCCAATAAGATTCTTTTGAATACTTGAGTTCCATTAAAACCAAAGAAAGTGAAACAACACTTGAGAAAAAATAGTTGTACTTACTTTTTAATGACCAAATAAACAATTTAGGTTAGTGACTTACGAGGAAAACTCATTACGAGGCCAAACTGTGCACTGGATAGGCGCAAAGTTTTGTGTTCGTATGATCCTGGATTCCAGTGAAAAGTCTTTAAATATATTTGAAATTTTAAGAGGGTTCCGAATTTCCGTGAAGCTGGCGTAACAACACCTGTCGGCGCTTTAGTTTTTATTGCGGATTCAGTAATGAGCGAGTATAGGAAGTTGCTCCGGATTCCGCAAAAGTAAGCGGATTTCGCAAATACAAGTGGATTCCTCTTACAATTTGCGGATCCCGCTTGAAGTTTTCAAAATCCGCTTCCAAATTGCGGATTTTGCTTGCAATTTGCGGTTTACACTTACAGTTGCGGATTCCACGTCAGTTTAAATTTAATGAACACGTAGTATTATTTGTTTATGGATTCCAGAAACTGTCCCAGATTGCGCAAATTTTGTTGGGGATTCCACAAAGTTGCCTGTTTTAGAGCATTTTTGAGCAATAAAGTGTTTTAGCTATTTGATCGAGACTTTACTTTCTCTCGCCCTTTTGGCACGGTACTAGTCACTCACGCTCATTATACTACGAGGTTACATAGCACGGACGCTGGACCTCCATACATCGCAAATGTTTTTCGTTCAATTCGATAAATGAAGTTATGGAGAAAAGGCTTGGATTGTGTAATAAATTGTAAATAAACATTTTTCCATATATGTTTCTGATCAGTTAAGTTTTCAAAATCTCAAATTGATCCCGAAAATGGCAGACAATGCAATTAGTGTTAAATAATTTAAAGAAAATTTGATAGCCACGAATTTTGAATTTTTGTCGGGAACAAAAGTTTTTCATACAATACCAATATATGGAAATTGTTTGAAAAGCAATTTGATGGCGAAAACGAAAAATTAATTTCTGGTAGTTTCGAAACGGCCCCGAAAAGTTTTTGTTTTCTTTACAACTTCAAAATAAACTTTGTACCATAACAAACCTTTTCCAGAAAAAGTTTTGTTTTGCAATTTTTACTTTTTTTGTGTGCATTAAGTAGTTCTAGAAAAACAAGTTGTTCTTAAAAAGCTTCAAAATTACTATGTTTTCCAAGGCTTAATTATGTATACCTTGATCGAAGCATGAATAATCGAAATTTCGAACTTCACAATTTAAATCTTTGAAATTTTTTTGCCAAACATTCATTTTTTGCTAACTCTAGCTTTCAGTAAACCAAGAGTTTTGTCACTTCTGTTTGGTTAAGATCACAACACAAATATTTTACGAAACAATTTAGAAGAAAAGAATTCTTTTTTTATGGAGAAATGCTTGTCATACAGTATCAAATATGGAATAACGCTTATCCTAGAGATTTCGTACGTTCAACTATGAAATTAAACGATAAGGGTTTTTGTCAACACGGGATTTGGTTGCAACAGACAAGTAAACAAGAGTAAACAGCCTAGTCAAAAGCAGACAGTTTTTTTTTTCATAAAGCCTCAAGAGTTATGTTAAAAATCTCGGGATTGAATAATTTTAATTAAAAAAAACATAAAATAACTTGCAAGTTTTGACTGACTTTCTCCAAATTTTTCCCAATTCTGTTTTCAGCTTAACCATTACAATGCCAAAGTGTGCACTGGATAGGCTTACAATTTGTTGTATGTTTTTGAAATTCTGAGACCAGTAATTGAAAATGTTTAAACACTTTTTGAATGATCAAAGAAAACGAAAGAACAAAGAGCGCTTCCTTGTTGCGGAATCAGCTCACAATTCAAAAATGATTTTCTTAACACTTATTGTTACATTTCTATCCAAATGAACTTGATAAAGAGACTAAAGCTGAAAATCCAATAAGCATTTGTCTCGAATTGAGTAGACACTAAATAAAAAAGATAGCTAAACTAGAGGCTCCTAATATTCTCTTAATTTTTTCAGAGGCATTATAATGGATCAAAAACGATTTAGTTTTCGGGCAATCATTTAGGAATTTTCGTAAAAAATTTACGAAAACTTACAGTTTTCTTCACCTTGTGTCTAAGTTGATTAAAATGCGTTCAAATTATCAACAAAACCAGCTAAATCAGATTGTACAAGTTTGGTTTGCCCTTACTATGAATGCCATGCCATTACTTCTAACTAATGCCATTTTTTAAGTCTCATATATTTTGCCTATTTTCCCACATGACTTCCAGTTTTCATGGTTTGTTTCGGATAATACAAATCACTGCGGAAAAATCTGTAATGCGATGCCCGTACTCGTTGACCTACCAATAGTCTTTGAAGCTACTGATTTTGGGCGGCACAGAATCCTGGGTCAAAAATGCAAACATGATAGCTGGCAAAATAACGCCAAAGAGCCCGGATTGATCTAAATGCTTGTCAAACAATTTTCATATTTGGAAAAATATTTATCCTACAGTATTGTATAAATCCAGATTTACAGAAAATTGTTCAAAAAATAAAATTAATGAAAATTAAATGACAAGCTTTTTTTTAAATCAAGAAATTATTATTTTTCGAGTTTTGCTCAATGTTTCTGTGTTTTGTTCGGAACAACGATCACCAGGGTTTTCACAAAAGAAATTTTCTTGGTTGAAAGGAAGAAGTATTGCAGATATTCTGCACTTGAGTTATACTGAATTTGACATTAATTTGTAGATTACTCTGAACTATGAAAAAACCTCAAATTTTTGTATATGACTTGAAATGTTTCAGCAAAAAATTACCTAGTCAAATTCTCGGCCTACTTTTTTGAGAAATAGAAGGGTACCTTATTCATCAAAAACATCAAACGTTTCACGTTTGAATTAGCAAAAAAAATCTAATCATTTAACTTTTTTTTGTGGTTTACAAAATTGGGCCTGGTTTACGTTCAAAACAAAAATAATGCCTGCATTTTTTTCTGCCTGCATTTTTTTCGAAGAGAACTTATGTGAGCATAAAAATGATACCGCGACTAAAAAAGGGAACAAATTTTCCTCTTGAAAAAGGATTTTTCAGCAATGGAAAATGGCTTTCATTTTGCAGCTAAGTGAAAAATGTTTAGCATACAAACTTCATATATGGAAACTGTAATAAATTTTGTTTTTCCATGCACTCCGTTTATGTAATTGTACAACAAGTGTTTTTTCTAGTATGGAAATGTATGAGAAACATTTTTGTCTATGGATGTCAACCCGGTAAGCTCTGATAAACCGATAAACCAAGTTTTTATTTTTTGAATTGCAATTTTTCTCTCTTATGACATCATTGGTGAGCAACGACAGTAAACTGCAATCTAAATTGTTCTGACTGTTTAGATTGATTTTTCTTAACACAGCAAAAAAAAAGTTTTGGATTTTTTTTTTGGATTTTTGGACTTTAAAATCACACTACACTTAAGACAGTTTAACTCGTCAAAACTAGACTCAAAAACCAAAAATATGAAATGGTTTTTACCATAACTTCAGAAATTAACACTGATCATTCTGAAATTATAACTGCAAAAAAGAAACATGTTTTCAAATTACAATACATCACATTACATTTGACGTTCTGATCGTCAAATTTTCAAGTTACTTTAGGTTCACGTCACATTATATCGGTCGAGGTTAAATCATTCAGACTGTTTCAAGTTTTCAAAAAAATTCAAATCATTTCTTTCCAAACAAATTTTTTCAGCTTAGAGAAACATTAACTATTCGACCCGTTCGGAGCTTTGTTTATTATATTGGTTCTCGCTTCACATCCTTAAATATGGTTATAAGTAGTTTTTCTAACCAGTCCCATTACTCAACAGTCCTATAGTACAATTATTAGAGTACAATTATTAGAGTAAGAATAGGACCAGCATTGGGTTAGGGAAATTGCAAACCTATTCGGTCAAAAATTTATAGGGCAACAAACAGACGTTGTCGCCTTATACAAATGTTGTTTCTATCAATTATCTCAATTAGGCAAAAAACTGATTTCGTTTAACTTTTGGTTCAAAGCCTCGATTCTGTATGTTGTTCTGCTTAGCGACTCAGATCGATAGTCGACTTTTTTCAAACAAAATTTTTAGACAGGGAAAACTCGCACTTTGTCCAAAATTTGGTTCATTTTTGGTCATTTTTCTGTTTGTTCAGCACTCGATGGAGGACGTGACTAAACAGAAGGACTTTTCTCTGGAGGGAATTCTGGACATGAACTGTAACATCACTTCATTCCAAGACAACTACTTCATTAACTCCTCATTTACACACGCCAAACAGCAAGTCAGGTCAGCACAAAAGAGGTTGGGGGGGGGGGTCATTCTTGAATTAAATTTTCGAAAATTTTGGCTCGTTCAAAAACATGGCTGGTCTGATTTCATAGTTCATTTTTTTTCAAATAATCATCCATAACGATCATTTTTCTTAAAAACAAAAACTCTCGCTTTCAATTTGTTTTTAGAGACTTCAAAACATATTTGGGCCAATTTGTTTTCTTTACTCAATCCTCAATAATCAAGTTTCACTGTACAAGACTGGGGTGATTCATTTAACTCGCGGTATCAAACTTCATCATTTCAGCATCACATCACAGTTTCCCTTTTGTGTGGATTTTTTAGTTTGCACATACACTAATTACTATCTTTCAAACTTTTCTGGCTGTTAACTTTAAGTTTGGGCCGTGGTTTTGCACAGGGGCAGATCTAGGATTTTCTCGAAAGGGGGGGGGGGGCGGGTTTTTGAAAGTTTTTCGATGTTTTTGTCGTTTTTTTCTTCAGTTCAACCAATTTGACTTTCGAAGCGGCCCCAGAGCACTCTGAAAACCCGATTCCACCCAAATTTTTGTGCCGCAGGCAGATTTAAAAAACACAGGTCAAAAAAGTCAATTTTGCTTTTTTTAGAAACTTTTGACACTTTCAATTAGTATATATTTATGGTGTGTATAGCGGCCAAAAATGGATGTGATAAAATCATATCAAAACGAAGGGACCATTTTTGGGTGGTGTCCCGATCCCTAAATCCGCCTTTGGTTTTACATGTTACGTTCTGTTTGTCACATTTTGATCCAAATACGTAATGTTTCGACTTGATTTTAGCCAAACAAACTTTTTTTTCGAGGCAGTTCAACCGAACTATTTGAGCATGTTGACATTCAAAGTGACTCAAAACAACTTAAGAACAAAAAGCTTTCCTCTCTGATAAAGTATTTGTTCGCAACAAAAGCACCTTTAGAAAAAGTGAGTTTCGGCCAGTTGAATATAAAATTGAAAAACAAAACTAAAAGGGAAACCTTTAGGTGGCTAAGGAGAAGAATACTTGAGGAAAAGGATGTCCATCTGAAATCCATGATTAAAATTAAGGCTACCAAAACAATCCTCCAATGAATTAAAATTGAAAGGATAGCTTTTCAGTTCATGCTTTAAACAAAATTTTTTTTCGATGATTTACGATTGAAAGGGTGTTTCAATTCATCATGTCATCAGAAGGTTTTTGCTAGTGTCCTTGAAAAATCTCAATTGTTTTTTTATGATCTATAGAAATTGCCCTGCAAAAAAAAACAAGAATGTAACTAATACCTTTGAGTTGGAGGGCTTTGACAGCTTTTAAACGACTTTTTTCCCGCTTTTTCCCGACTGTTAATTATCGCTTTTTCTAAAGTATCCCGTTGATTGCTATTTTCTGGCGCTAATTCATGTATAACTCAAAGATTTTTGCATAGCTAAAACTGCGATATTTCAGAGCTATTTCAGTAATAATTCCGTAGAGAATCATCGCTTAAACTTAAAAAATTTTATTTCATTCTTGTAGCTTTCATGTGAGAGCTTTAGTTGATAAGCCTTTTAAGAGTTTTTTTAAGGAATGGTGGCGCAGAGGTTGCACAAATGTCTTCAAAGCTGATTGTTGCAGAAAACAACTCTTGTTAGAGCACTATTTTTGCTCATTTTGGCAGGTCTTTTATCAATGTTTCATCGCTAAAAATAAGCCAAATTAGCCAAAAATAAGCCGGATTATTTATTGATGTAATTTGCTATTCATAAACATCGATTCAATAAATCATCGATGGCGATCATTTTTTCCTTTTTTTATGGCTAAGTTTCAAGGTGAGCTCAACCCGAGTTGTCTATTGTAAAAAATATGACTATTAACTCAAAACCCAAAAGTTTTGAAAATTGACAGATAGATAATTTGTTAATAATTTTCAAGACTAATTTTGACCAGATTTGAAAACTGTCCTTCAATTAGTCAAGAGAATTTTTTAGTTGTAAAATAGATGATTGATCATCGTTTCGCAGGAACTTTTCTTCTTGTTACCAAATTTGAAGAAAGTCATACTCTTTGCCAATAGACATAAAAATTTTCGTTAAAGCTGTAAAAGACCTCATTTTCAAAAATTGTCTGAAACTAACATTTTGTGCAGAAAGTTTCTTATGGAGGAAATAAAACGGCCGAGTTTTTCAAATGAACTGGAAAAAACCTCTGATTGATTGATGAAATGAACAAGCGCTTTCCTTTGTCATTTTCATTGCAGGATTTTGCTTACTAATGTCATCTACTTTTTCATTTTATTTCTTTTTTTCACTAGTTTTTGACTTATGTCAAATAGTTAATGTGCACTGGGCTATAACAAACATGTTCAAATCAGAGGTAGCTTAGTTCCAAATCTTCAAACAATGTTGGTACAATAAGTTAGTTTTCCAGTCAAAAGAAAACAAACTATTCATACTCGAACAAGCTACAACAGCTAACAAATGTCATAATAAAAATCTATGCAAGTTAACTGATGTCCATTGAGCCCGCTTCAAGAAATCTTTGCTCAAAACAATCATGCTTCGATCTTCGATATGATGAACGAATTCCACTAATACATGTGATTGAGGATCTGACAGGTGCAAATTCAAGACGACATCGAATCTTTCAAAGCCCTTGACTATATGAAGTTATTTCTTTCTTCTCACTGATCATCAAAGCAAGTCTTTTGTAAAAGGAGGTAGCAAGTTTGCCCAAGCCACCCGTGCAAGAAAGAACAAGAGGTGTGAATGAACTATGTTCAACATCTCTGATACGCTGCTCAATGCATCTCTTTTTTCCACTTCGTGCTTACTCTACACACTTCGTAGAATACCAGAACTTGGTTTGGAGCCAGAATTGAACCTTTTTACACCAATGAATGCCTTCTCAAATCTCTCTCCCTAGACTTCATAGGCTGAAATAGCAATAAAACCTTTGTAGCCACTTCTCAGAGCCCAAAACTAGCCAGATAAATTTTTTGAATGAGCTTTGACTTCAACATTAGGGCACCTTCAGTCGAAATTTCTGCTTTTATGTCTCCTCTCCCACTTCCTTATGCCGTATTGCTGAATAGCTGGGAAGCCCCCAGAAGGGTAAGACAAGCAAAGCTCAAGCGAGAAAGTTTTTCCAAAAACACAGTGAGAAAGGACCATTATCAGCGGCCAACTATATCGCAAGCACTTTGCATCCCGAAACAAAAAAGTGTAACAAATCAGCAGACACTTCATTTTGGAGAGCGGAAACACGAGTTTTTTGTTACGTTTCGGTCATTCTCTCTGCAACTAATTAAAATATAGGGTTAAAGTTTTAGCAAAGCTTGATAAAACTAATTGGAAGCTTCTTAGCGGATCAAATACTGAGAAACTCTAATTTAAAGATCCAATTAGCCAATATATAGTAATTGATTTAACAGCTGCTCTTGCTCTGGAAACAAGCTCAAAAACAACCCAAGCTGTTTGAAAGTATGGACTCAATTTGTTTTGTAGGGAAGCTGACCATCTCATCTTCACATAGTCTCTAGACCACGGAAACATGGCATACAAAAGACTTCAAAGGTTTACTTGCTCCCTTGTAGAAAATGGTCGTATCTGTTTTGGCGATACAGATGTTAAAAGTGTTGTGCGTTTATGATAGAAATTTGGAACACAATTAGAGACGATACAACTGCTTATGATATCCCTGTGCCTGAATCGAAGGTGTCAGCTAGAATTGTTCTTTTGCCGGCCTTTTTAGATTACCAGCGCTATAGGTCTCGTAAAAAAGTTAATATCTTTTGGACAAAGTAGTTTGTTGGACAAAGCCGGACAAAGTAACATTTGAAGTCGTTTGTCTATCCTTTTTCCGCGTCCCAGAGATTAAGTGAAGATCCTCAGCTTCCCTAGAAACAACTTTGAGTCCGTACTTTCAAACTCTTTGAGTTGTTTGGAACAATTTTTCCAGAGCAAGAACACTTCGGAATATAGTTATATATTGTTTGGATATCTTAACCCTTCAATTCATTATTTCTTAGTTTTTAATCTGCTAAGGTCCTCAAAATTAGTTTCATCTAGCATTCCGAAAGTTTTAACCCTGTATCTTAATTAGTTAGTGAGGAAACTACAGTACCGGGAAGAAAGTATTTTCTCTCACATGCTCGTTGAAATCATGTGTGTACTTGTTCGTTGTAGCCCAGTGTATTAAAATTGCATTAACTCTTGGCTATCGCAAGTTTTGGAGAGATGTTTTCTTGACAATATTGTCTTGACCTTAAAAATTTGCATCTTTTACCGTTGGGTTCACGTCCGGGCTTTATTTTGGCCGCCCCAATTATTATCAGCATGTATGATGACCTTGTAAACTGCACATTGAAAAAAAGTTTAAACTGATTTATTTTGCTGTTTGAAAGTTTTGATATGTTCAGATGATATGTTCTATTTTATGACCACGGCGCGACTATTTTTCAGAGTACGAAGCGATTCATTTCCAGATTATCGAGGCTAAAGCTTCATACCATTTGCTGATTTTATCTGTGGCTAGAAAAAACTGAATAGACAATGAGTTTTCGTCATGGAGTAAACATCGGTGCGACTTTGAACGTCTGGAAGGAAATGAGGTCATCTAATTTTGTAGAGGACTCAACAGTATTATGTTTGCGAATGGCGTTTTTGTTCCAAAGTGCTTAGTTTTTATAATATGCGACACAATCTGAAATTATTAAGTTTAGATCGTAAATATTGCCAATCACCAAATCTGGTCGAAATCTAGTCAGATGTCAAAAATACCACAACAGTCTTCATATCAGTATATGAACGTTACCATGATTGCAACACAGCTGCTGTTTGCATGGCAAACAGTATAGTTTAACGTTCGCTGGCGACACAAATCGCTCTTTGTTCACATTCTGATACATTGTCCAATACTTGGCATCATTTAGCATCTTTTGTGAGCCTAAATCAATGTACATTTTTTACGTTTAAGATCAAGTTATTCTGCATTTTGAGGACAATTTTGCTGATAGTAG